CAAATTAGAAACAACCCCATGGTACATCAGTCACAATATCATGACTTAACAAAAATAAACAAGGATAGGTAAGAAAAGGGCTAAAAAAAAAGATTCCCAAACAGAAACTGTTGTCCAAACAGAGCATGGTTTAAAATGAGGAAGGGCAGCATGTCAGGGTTATATCCTTCCTCCATACCTATTAAACTTGCATGCTGACCAAATAATTTGTGAAGCCGGACTCTATGAAGAGTGTGGCATAAGGATTAGAGTAAGGTTCATCAAGTCTTCATTATGTAGACAACATTACTTTGTTTGGAGCAAAGACCACAGGCTTGAATTACATCAAGAAAACCAAGGTCCTTATCACTGGGCCAATGGAGAAAAGATTGAAACGGTCAATGAATGATTTCATCTTACTTGGATCCACAATCTACACCCTTGGTACCAGCAGTCAGGAGATCAGGAAGCATACTGCTTTGGGCAAGATCTCTCAACAATACTGAAAAGCAATGACATCAGTCTGAGGAAGAAGGTGTGCCTGATTTAGACTATGGTATTTTCAATCACTTGCTAATGAGTTGAACAATGACTAAGGAAGACAGATGGAGAATTGATGCCTTTAGACTATGATGTTGGAGACAAGTACTCAATATCCCATGGACTGCCAACAGAACAGATGTCTTAGAAAGGTGCAACCAAGAATGCTTCTAGGGAGGCAAGGACGGTGGAGCTTCATCTCTTTGAACATGTTGCTAGGAAAGGCTATTCCTTGGAAAGGGATATCCTGCTCAGAAAATCAGAGGGAAAGCAAAGAGAGGAAGATGCCTCAATGGGGTGGATTGATCCACCGTGATGGTAGCAATGGGTTCAAGTGTATTAAGAGATTATGAGAATGGCACAGGAAAGGACAAGATTCAGGTGTTGTCCAAGGGGACGGCATCTAACAATGACAGCAGGAAAAGGGGAAAATAACCAAAAACAATAAACGGAGAAAATAGCGTAGGCATGTTTAGAAACAAAACATGGTAAGCCACCCTACCTCTGAAGCTGAATGTCTCTTGGAAGGAAAATGATGCATAAAAACCTTTAATAAGCCTTAAAAGTACAATAAAGCTATGCATATTAGATCTGGTGGCATAGTTTCGTGCCACAATCAACTTGAGAGTAGTGGGCTATTATGTCATTTTAATATTTTAATAACAACTTTTTTCAATTTTAAAATGTGTACATACATGGTTTTTAAACATGCTAAGTGCTATCAAGTTGACTACAACTCTTGGTGACCCTATGAACAGTGTTCCTGAACCCTTCTCCACGGTGGCTTAGTAGCAATGAGTGGTGCTCCCAAGTTAAAGGTGTGCTGTTCAAACCCACCAGCTGTTCTGAGGGAGGAAGATTTGCAATCTCCTCCTGTGCAGTACACAGCTTTGAAAACCCACAGAGGGGTGAGCTAGAAGTCGGTTCTGACTCCACGCTGGTGAGAGTGAGTGAATTCCAATGTATATGGGGGTTGGAACTCATCTCCTATCAGCAGTAAGAACTGTGTCAGAGCCAATGATTTTCAGCTCGGGGGCACATCCCTTGTGGAAGTGGAGATGGGAAGACCACTAATCTGTGGGAAGAACCTTAGGTGACATGGATTTCCTCGGTCAACAGTGTAGAGTTTTCTCAGGCCTCACCTTAATCTTCTATTTAAAGCATCAAGGGGGGAAAATCTGGAAATTCTAAATGGCATGTGTTGCTTATGTACTTGTACAATTTCAACCCAATGTTCTTCTCTGTTGTGTGCTGTCAAATTGAATGTGACTGGCACAGAATAGACTGCCCCTCTTTCTTCACCGGAGCATCTGGTGGATTCGAACAATCTCCTTCGAGGTTGTAGTGCAGCTTCTTGCCACTAGGCGACCAGAGCTCCCTCCAACCCAATGTTGAAATAAGAAATCATAATATGTTGCCAAAAATTCTCAGTATTTTCCTTAAAATGAAAAATTTCCTCATGGGGACAACCAAGTAACATCTTTAAATGTCAGCTACACAGATTGCTACATTTTCTTCTTACTGTTCTGAAGTAACTGCCACATAAAAATTTAAACATTATAAAATCTTCTGCCTTCTCCCCCTACCAGGTTAGGTTCTGTAATTCTGTATCTAAAGCCAACGTTTCTTCCATTAAAAAAGCAGCACCTTAAAACAACTATGAGATATCATCTCACCCCAGTCAAAATAGCAAAATTTAACAGAACAGCAAGCAACAAATGCTGGCGAGGTTGTGG